ACCAAGAACTTAAGCTACCTTGGAAAAGTCACCCTCGTTTCCGCACAGTTTCGAACTGGGGACCTTTGGCGTGTGAGGCGAACGTGATAACCACTACACTACGGAAAATTTATCTTGACAAAGCAGAAGGAATTCTCCTGGAACGCCGCAAAGAGTTTATGCATTCCCTCAAAAATAAAACTCTGTTTCTGCTCAGCTTCTTACCGATGACCTTTTGCTTGTTAGGCTAACGTGATGACCACTATACTACAGAAACTCAAAAAGTTTACTCTCGTGCTCTTTCGGGTAAAATTGATACTGTAATCTGCCCTGAAAGCAGATTGACAATCTGAGTAAATCCCACACACAGTAGGACAGAGTTCATTCGGCGTGGCACTCTGCTCAGAGTTCCTTAAAAACTTGCCTTCTCCTACCTCGAAATTAAGGTCTTTGCAGCTTGGACCACCTGCTTACCATAGAGCCATTTCAGCACAGATAGAACAAAAGTCTCTATCTGTTTCCGCCCAGTTTTGAGCTGGGGACCTTTCGCGTGTAAGGCGGACATGACAACCGCTACACTACGGAAACCTGCAACAAGGACTGTGTCTGACCTTTCCATCACACGCTTCTTGGAGCACAAATCAAACTACAGATTGCATTGTGCTCTTCAATCTGCAAATACCTTCTCACCCAGTTTCAAGATGAGGACCTTTCACGTGTGAGGCAAACGTGATAACCACTACACTTCGGAAACCTGTCTGTAGGAAACAGACCGAAATCTTTAGGTTCATGCTCGGTAAAAAGCGCATAAAGGTAAAAATTTCTAAAGGCGCAAAATGTTCATACTTTTCTTCCAAAGTCTGCAGCTGTTTCTGCTCGGTTTGGAACCAAGGAGCTTTCGCATGTTAGGCAAACGTTCTGTAGTGTGGTGGTCATCACCTTTGACTAACACGCGAAAGGTCCTCGGTTCGAAACAGTCGAATGAACTCTGTCCTACTGTGTGTGGGATTTACTCAGATTGTCAATTTTACCCCGAAAGAGCACGAGAGTAAACTTTTTGAGTCTCTGTAGTATAGTGGTCATCACGTTAGACTAACACTCAAAAGGTCCTTGGTAAGAAGCTGAGCAGAAACAAAGTTTTATTTTTCAGGGAATGCATAAACTCTTTGCGACGTTCTAGGAGAATTCCTGCTGCTTTCACAAGATAAGTTTCCGTAGTGTAGTGGTTATCACGTTCGCCTCACACGCCAAAGGTCCCCAGTTCGAAACTGTGTGGAAACAAGTGTGACTTTTCCATGGTAGCTTAAGTTCTTGGTCTGTTGCGTTCACACTCAGCGCTACAAAAGGCTTCGCCTGCCTAGAGGTGTTAAAGCAAAAGAGGTTTTCTGACAGATTTCTGTAGTGCAGTGGTCATCACGTTCGCCTAACCCCTTTTAGGGAAGTGGATATATCTCGAGTTTCTCGGATCTTTTTGCAATTCACAGCATGGGCAGGGCGTGTCCAGATTAGCCACGGAACAGGGTTTGAGCCGGACAGCTCGTCCAGAAGCCGAGATCCTGGATGTCCCAGGTACAATCTATCCCATTAAAAAAAAAACAAGTCAAATAAGTTAGAGGTGGTCGAGTCGTTTTTATGCAAATCAAGCCATTTTACGAGCTCCGATGCATACGATCGAGTTGTTTTTATGCAAATCAAGCCATTTTACGAGCTCCGATGCACACGAAACTGCCAGACGGTGTTTCCTGAGCACTGTACTGTAGGTATTTGCAGATGAAATCATCGCATTCATGAAATATGACCTATTAACGCATTGTCCACGGAAAGCCTGTGGAGGTCCCGTCAAATAAGTCACGGGTGTCAGTTTCCGTGCAAAGACATTTTTAAAGGTAAATATGAATATCGATGAGTCGTGACGCACGTCGACTTGTCAGACGGCGTTCCCTGTGCGTGGCGGTGTACGACTCGCGTAACTCATCCCATTCGTTTTTAGGTGTTTCGCGGACAGTGGGACAGAAAGGTCCGATCGGCCCGAAATGGACATATGCGTCACGTCA